AATCACACACACACACTGCAGCTGACCAGGCCATCTAATCTCGAAGGCCACGTTCCTGTTTCCGCATTTTTCGAAATTCTTTATGTTTCCGCGAAATCGGAAAGTACAGTTCCCCTCCCCAGGAGATCTCACGATGAGTCATTAGAGCTGGGCACTTTCTTCGTGAATTCGTTAGATTGAAAACGTGTCTTAGTTTAGTCTCCTCTCGAAATCTTTTAGTTTTGTTCTATTTGTAATTCTGTTACAATATTAGATGTTATTTTCACGTCTTACGTTAATCAATATGGATGTTTTAGACATCATTGAAACTAAAAGAAAAAAACTTTTAGCCCTTTATAATGGTTATCAGTATCGAATTCAGAATAAAAATAATGCAGTTTATTAGATTTTCATAAATGAAAAGAATTAAAAACTGCAAAAGCGCAGTTAAGACCAAAGAAGTCGTCGTTTTAGAAGACAGAATGTAGTTTTATAAAATATTTATTCTGAAAGGTGCTCACCTTTATGCAGAATTTCGGAATTATTTTATTTTTACTTTAGGAAATGATCTTTTAGTTCATTACCAAAATCATCGCAGTTCGAACATCTCCCCCCCCTTTTAAATACAGTATTAGCTTCATTCACGCAAAGATCTGAGATCGTAAATATTTTTTGATCATTTCTTTTAAAAAATTCTTTTTATAAATCTGAAAACTTTTTTCTTTTCCTACATTTCGGGAGAGGCCAAGGCACAGTCGCCCCCCCCTACGTAAACCTTTTGAGAACGGGGGTAAATGAACACTGATGATTTCGCGGAAACAGGAACGGGTAAAACAGCGTTTCCCAACGTGGGGCCCACGCCCCACAAGGGGGCAATGCGACTGTTAAGGGAGGCAATTCGAAAATGGACTCTCCATAGTTTAAAGGGACAAAGGAAGTTCAAATTTCTATATATGCTTCAAGAAGTCAAAATTTTCGAAATTTCATTTTTTATTCCCCAAAGTAAAGAAAAATGTAAGTGATGCATACGTAAAAAGTTTTTAAATTGCGCTGTATTTTAAATATTTTATGAAGAATTTTCGCTGTAGACATGGACATTTAAATGCTTTTAAAGGGCATTTAAATAAGTGACACATTATGCTTTCCAAACGTTTTTCGCACATTTCAGCCAACGAATTTATTTTATTTTTGACTGTAGAAATGGCAATTCGGTATATTATTTTTTCCTTGAGTGTGGCAACAGCAGCTGCTATCAGCTTTGTTTATATTGATGTTATATTTATTTCTTTCAGCCCTTAGTGAAATGAGGGGTGCAAGCAAGGAAAAATGTTTGTCAGCATTCGGACGAACATTTATTGTTCGTATTGTATTTAAAAGGTATATTTAAAATTTGGTTTCGTACCCGGTCGATATATGGTCACCTTTTACCTTTTATGCCAATAATGCCTGACCAACGAATTAATGAAACTAGGTCGTCCTGAAGCCCATTTGAAGGCGAAATATAATACTGATATTAATTCAGATTTGAATTATTTTCACACTTTAATATTACTCTTTTTTTCAAAAACTTTCCTTAAAGTCTCTAATTACTGCTCATAATGCAACTGTTAATCGTGCTCTTGAGGCTATTTATCAAATTTCATTACTCATCGCTTAATCTGGGAAAAGCCGTACTATAGGGGAGAATTTGGTGCTACTTTGGTAGACGGTTGCACGGATTCTGCCGATATTTTTTTGGCGAGCGATACGACTTATGGTAAACCCATTGCTGGACAAGTTATTTATGGTAACCGATACTTTGTTGTCATTTTATTTAAAAAATAATGCGTTTTATTATGCATAATTCCGTGTTTTAAATATTATTATGACTTCAAAATAATAAAATGAATTTAATTTTGCATTTTTATTTGAAATAAAAATTTTATTGTTTATGATATTTTATCGAATTTTTGTTGTGAATGATGTAATGAATGACGTCACGTTATTTTTAAAGTAATTGGTTTTAATATCTATAAATTTAAATCTAATGTTTTAAACATTACTTATGGCTGTTAAATATTAAAATACAATTTAATTTTGTAATTTTTTAAATGATTTTATTATGAATGATTATTTAAATATTTTAATTCCATGCGTGATGTAATCAGCTCCCTGATTGGTTACTGAATATTGTGCATTTCCGCGCCATTTTAAAATTTTATTATTCATCTCTTCGAATTCCTCAGATTTCAAACGAATGGATGTCTCCGTTCGAAGATAAATGTTGGTATTGGTAATTACCAAGAATTATTGGTATCGGCATAAAAAAATTGCCGTTTGAGACTTTATTTTGGACAACCTGGATTTCCTACTCAAAGATTTATTTATTGTTACAAGGTTCAGAAGAAATTTTATTAAAAATTTTTGAGGAAACCTCGCTAATTGTTTCTTCAATGAAGTGCGAAAGATGGGATAACAGATGAAAATCGTTTTTTTTTTTTTTTTTTTTTTTTGGTACTTATCAATATACTTAAGGTAAAATGCTTTAAAAAAATTGTAAGTACATATTTTTCTTTTACTTTATATTGTATACTTAAATTTTATTTAAAAAAATTAATACACTTTTTTTCAAAAATTCCTGAGATATTTATTGTCACATATGTTTTAATGTTAAATAATTATATCCTATAAACATATTTTAAAGATTTGAATTAAGTAATTGAAAAATTTAATTCTTTTAAACGTTGGTTAATGTTTTTAATTCAATTCAATTAAAGTAATATTTATTCCAATAAATGTTGGCGCAATGTTTTTATATGCGGTGTATTTATTCTATTTATGAAAGTAATAATTTAACCTTACTTTAGCATTTTATACACTTAGTAAATCTCTTTATTTACATTTGCCAGCCATCGTAAAAAAACAACGTTTTCAACAAAAAATTAATCCATTATTTTTAACGATATTTATTTTTTTAAAGTTTCGAATACTTTACTATGCGTGAAATATACGTAAAAACAGCATTTTTCAAGATGGCTGACGACTGTAAAAACCGCGCCAACAATTGCGCCAATGTAAATCGCCAAAAATCCGTGCAACCATCTACCAAAGTAGTACCGAGAATTTAACCAAAACATCAATATCAGCATTTAAAACTGTTCTAGAAAAAGATGACAAAAGACGTTAAAGCTGTGCCACTAAGTAACAATACTGTTTGCAGAAGAAAGATAAAATTAGTGAGGATATTGAAATACAACCTGTTGAAAAGCTGAAAGCAAGAAAATTTTCGATGCAAATAGATGAACTAACTTTGAGAGACTGTGAGGCCGTACTTGTTACTTATGTAAGATATAATCATAAAGAGGATTTTGCCGAAGAAACGTTCTTCTGTAAATCATTAGAAAGCACCACTATCTCCAAAGATATTTATAGTAAGCTAAAAAATTACTTAGATATAAAAAATATACCAATAAAAAATATAATACATCTTGTACTGCAGATGGTGCTCCTAATATGATGGTTGAAAAATTAAATAAATCACGGAATTTTAAAAAAGGTTGCTTAAAATTGACAAAAGATGAGAATGCAGAAATGCATCTTGTGCATTGTGTTATTCATAGAAACCTGGTTAAAGTGTATCAATGCTATAAAAGCTAGGGCCAAATGTGAACGTCTTTTCAAGTTATTTTATGTCTTCATAAAATGAAGACTATATGAGACTTATACTTCACACTGAAGTAAGAAAGCTGTCGAAAGGGAACAGCTTGGAAAGATTTACGGAACTATTTCATACTCTTAGTTATTTTTTAAGTGACAAACCTGAAATGAAAAATCCGTTAACGGATGATAACAAGCCAATTGTGAGTTATTTAGCCAACATCTTTGAAAAATTAAATATATTAAATAAACAAATTCAAGGAGCAAATAAAACTTATGTCGATGCAAAAGCGAAGATATTCGGTTTCATTATCTTTGTTGAATTATGTCAGGCATATACTATTTACCACAAAAATTTTGAGAAGTTTCATTGGCTCTAAAAATGTGATGTGATGGATACCGCTATACTTGTTATTGTCGATCATCTGAAAAAAATTTATCTGCTGATTGAAAAGAAAAGAAAAGAAATCTGTTGGATATAATGAAACGTGGAGACTTGAGATTCAAGTTATCTAAATTGGAACCTGACATAAAATCTCTTTGCTGCAAATATCAAGCGCAAGGAACTCGCTAAATTTAAATAATACAAATTACTAATACTTAAAATAATATTAAAAAACTTTCACTAAAATGAGTTTGTTCTTGAATTTCAGTTTTCCATGTTTTGAAAGTTCACTTACTGTATTTGCTCACAAAATTTCATTAGTCATTTCTTTCTAAAAGCTATCATTCAAGTTTCTTTTGCGAACATTTCAATTTTTAAATATTAAAAATTTTGTATATGCTAGGGGGAGCTTAATAATTTTAGAGAGGATTAGGTGGGGCACAGCACAAAAAAGGTTGGGAAACACTGGGGTAAAAGTTTACAATTGGGTGCCACTTGTTTTTTGGCGATTCTTTTTTGACGCCAAGATCAGCGCCAGGAAAGCCCAATTTCAAGATGGACGCTACACAAAGCCAAATTAAGCCAAAGAATTGCACAAACTCTGTGTGTTTGTGTGTATTTTCATTTAAAAAAACTTCAGAGAATTTCCCAAATTAGGCATTGCGCACTGCCTTAACTTTGTCCATGTTCACATCAATCTATTTTCATTTAAAAAAAACAGGAAGCTAAACAAAGTTAAAACTATCTTAGTAACCAGAAATGAGGCTTCATCGCCAAAATTTAACAAAATTTATCGCTAGTCGAAAGAGCACCCAACTCTACACTAGAGCCCAAGAGGGATTTTGATAAACACAAAAACAGGGAGGAAACAGGAAGACACCCACCAACCTTACATTTTTAAATCTGCATTAAGACAAGCAGAACTCTCGGCTTAGACGCATATAATCCTGATTTTTTTTAAAAGCAAATATCTATTAATTCTTTTCTAACTAAAACTCACCTTTACAGCAAGGTCTTTTCTTCTTCCACTTGGTAGCTTCTTTGCAGCGAAATGAACGTCACAGAATGTTCCTGAACTAATTTTCTTCCCAATCCACAAGCCATGAGCTGCTAATCTACTCCTATCACCAATATCCCTGGAATTGGAATCGATAACGAAAGGGTAATTTCTGGACCAAGGATCGTCTATATCTATTTTACTATAAACAGCCATTAAACATGGCAGACAGTTTTGAAAAGTCTCTTCTAGGATACCTTTACTTTAAAATTTTAAAGAATCTAATTAACAATTACTGGTTAAAATTTTACCTCATTATATAGTTTCAATTTTGTAACATATAAACATTCACGTAATATTTCTATTAAAGTAAATATGCGCATGACTTGAAATCAGTGAAGCACGTTTTGGTTTCATTGTTGAGTTGTTGGTAACATCGTAATTTTGGAAATTTTTTGCTCGTAATGCGTTTTATTTTCTTCAAATTTTTAAATATATATAAGGAGCATTAACACTACTCAGCTATTGCATCCAGACCTAATGTCTCTACAACTTTGAATTTGTTTTATTATCAATTTCATATTTTGTAAAACTTTAACGAATTTTTTATTAACAAACTCTACGATTTGAAAGCGACCAGTGGCAACACTCCTCGAAATACAGCAGATTTTTTTTATCTCCAGCGTGCGAGACTGTTGCCACTCGGAAAAATGAGAGCGAAAATTAGCGTTTCCAGAGTTTGCAGTTCATATCTCTGATTTTAGCTTTTTTTCTTTTTTCTTTTTTTTACTTCCTTGTACGAAGTAAAAAGGAAGTATTGTAATCGCGAAAAGCTTCAGGCAGCATATTTTAACGAAAATATCCATTTTGACCGCTATCGAATGCAATTTAACGATCTTTTTGCCTGATATCTGTACGTAAGGACAGAATGAAAGACTCGTTTCCTCCAAAAAAATTATAAAACTGCTTTAAAATTAATTCTGAAGAGAATTTCTCGTGGCGTCTGTACGAACGTATGTACGTACGTATCTCGCATAACTCGAAAACGAGTAGCCTCAGAACGTTGAAATTTTGTATATAGAACTGCTATAACATGTAGATGTGCACCTCGTATTTTGGTTGCAATCGACCGCACCGTACGTATATAAATACCATATTTATACATATATCCACTCTGTTACGCGGCACAGTGATCTCAGTTTCTTTGCTCTTATATGTTTGTAAATTGTAAATTTTTTGCTTTAAAAATGATTAAATTCTGTTGTTCTTATCTCTCAGTTAAGGTTTTTATGCCTTTCGTAATTCTGGAAGCAATATTTGTACAATTATCAACAATTTAAAAGCTGTTTAAGTGCGGTTAAGTTTTAAATAACATGGCTGACATTTTGTTTACATTTGAAATAGCAGAATTGCAGATTTGTTGCCAATCTGGAGAGACTAAGCTTCGCAACAAGAAAAATAACCCCTTCATTTATTATTGCGAATTAAATCATGCTTAATCCTTTCTGGAATTGTTTCGAGGAAATAAGTGTTTAAGATTTACTTCGTAATTTTTAATATAGATATTTTGAGTTTTTATGTATTTTTGCCTTCTCGCGAAGTGAGAACTGAATTAATTGAATGAGAAATACTCAATCATCTGTGAAACACTGTTTCTTTTTTGTTTTATTTGCTTAATTTCTTTTATACATCGTTCTAGCTTTATTATTTATTATAGTATTTGAATAGAACATGTGGCAACGATTAGATAATTCTATTCTTTAAATGATATAAATTTTGTGCATTCTGAGTTATAATATGAACGAAATATAATACTGTTAAGTGAATCAAGCGCAAGAGTGTCGCTATGATAAATAAATACTAGGGTGAATTTTAAAGAATGCATTTATTCTGTTGTGGTTTATGCGCTGTCGGCGAAGTAGATTTAATTCAATCCAATAAGTTTAAATGAAATGCAAGACGATAGGTATAGTAGTGACTGAGTGAATCGCGAACAAACACACAGACATTTTTATTTATATATATAGGTTGTTATATATGCTTCTATTTACCAATTTAAGAAATGAGGCATAGGAATATTTTTTTCTCTTGTACAAAGATTAACAAAGCAAACTGAAACCACACTGAAGTCAATCTGAATACTGAAGAGAGCAAGCATTGTTTAAAATGTTAGGTTTGATTTATAGCAATCATTGACATCTTTTGAGTACAGTTCCGCAAACTTAGTTAGAAAATGAGAAAGAAGTCGTTTGGAGTGTAATGGCTCATCCACAGATGTCCCAGTAAAGGATGGTCGGTCAAACAAAAGCTTAGAAATTTTTCCCAGCCTCCACTTCCGAGAAGTGTCTGAAACTAAGCAGCACTTCTAGGAAAACGAACAAATAAGTACATCGATGGTAATCATTTTCTGTAGGGCGATCCGCTCTATGGGTGGGCAAAACTGCTTGGAACTACAGGTGTAATTGTTTTCGGGATGTTTCAATATACGGGTTTTCAGGATGTTTCAATTTCCAAGAACGGGAAACAAAAAAAAAAAAAAAAATTCCAAATTTCAAATTTGGTCTTCCACATGCCCATATTCGTTGGAGGATTACTTCGTTCAAATTTCGATGGCTCTATGTACCGTTATCTTATCACAATGCGATAAATATACATACATTTATGCAGAGTTTTCATTATTTAATTTCTTCAAATATAAAGCAGGACTGTAACATTTTGTGGCAACAGTTTGAAAAGTGAACCGACATTTATAGGAGTCCGACGCAAAATGCCAAAACGAAATAATAGTCCTTCAGGGACTCAACTCCCTTTGGACTAAAAAAAATCTGAAATTTTTCAGATTTTAAATTACGTCCAAAGGGGCGTTTTTTTAACGTTTTGAGTGTTACCTTTATTTATTAAATATCATGTTCTTTGCACTTAAACCATAAAATTCAGTTCAAGAGCAATATCGCAAAATAATGTTAAATTAAGCATATCTATAGAATTTCCGATATACACAGTCTCGCGAGCTGGAGATAAAAGATTTTTTTTTCTATATAACGTTGCCATTTCTCGCTTTGAAAGCATTGAGTTTGTAAATCAAAAATTCGTTAAAGTTTTACAAAATATAAAATCTATAATAAAACAAATTCCAAATTTGGGATTTCAGATGCCCATATTCGCAGGAGGATTTCGTCATTCAAAATTCGATGGCTCTATGTACCATTGTTTTATCACAATGCGAGAAATAGACAATCATTTATGCAGATTTTTCATTATTTAATTTCTTCAAATATAATGCAGGACTCTAACATTTTGTGGCAACAGTTTGAAAAGTGAACCGACGTTTATGAGTCCGACGCAAAATCCCAAAACGAAAACAATAGTCCTTCAGGGACAAAGCCCCTTTGGACTAAAAAGATAGAATGTAACAAAAGTGTCGCATCTTTTACGATTTGGATTAATGATTTAAAATGGATTAATGAATGCACTGTTTTATTGAGCTAATTGTAGTAAACAATTTGAACTGATATTCGTTCTTTAATTAGATAAAGCTTCTATTTCCAGATGACCCTGTACCCACGGGGCCCTTTCAAAGCTTGGGACCCCTAGCAACTGCCACGTTTGTCAGCCGCTTAACCCGCTGGAACTTTAACTACTTTGGGCTCTGAGTTTGTGATATTATTCTGTGTTTATTATGTTAAAATTATATATTATGTTTCCTATAATTTCGTAACTGCTTATGCTCGTATTTTTCTCATGTTCCCCGCATGCCGCCAGCTCTATATTTTTATTTCCTTCTCAATATACATGGGTACCGTACGGACTTTTGACTTTTTTGAAATGTTCTCTACTTTTATGAAATTTTGCTTCAACCTTAGAGCATTTAATTTTGCATTGATATTTTGTATGTTGATATATTTGAAGTAATTTATTTTTTTCGTTGGAGGTAAGGTTATTGCACTTAACCCGCGAGCACACGCGGCGGGTATGTCATACCCATGTACATTTTTCTTTTTGTATATTTCTCGCCCATTCTTTCATAAAAGGACGAAACTTAGTGTAGCTGAGTTCAAGGTCACATACTTAAATGGGGGAAATTCCTGAGGTGGCAAGTGCAACGGTTTTTTAGGACCAACATTGTTCGGGCATGTCATACCCGCGCGTGTACTGGCGTTTCTCAGTGAGTCACTTCGCACTTCTCGTTTTCAAGCCGTATATTCCTTACGATGAAGAGATGAAAAGATTGAGAAATCTCCTTGAAACAGTTTCTTCTGATGAGGATTCATTTAGTGAAGAAGAGGAAGATGTTGATGACGAAGAATATAATTAGTAATCCATCCATATAGAGTAGTGATTCAGATACAGAAACAGAAAATGAAACTCTGGAATGTAGCAATGAGTTCTATGTTGGGAAAAAATGGAGTAAAATGGAACAAAATAAATTCCGGACTAATGTTAGAATTGGCGCCAAAAATATTATAACTAAACTCCCTGGAAATACAAAGTATTCTAAAGACGTCTCAACACCTTTAGAGTCCTTGTCATTGCTTATCGATGAAGATATGTTAAAACATGTAGTTGACAATACAAATATTTATATTGATTCAATACGAGAAAATTTCACTCGTGAACGGGATGAGTACTTTTCTCAAAGCCTTAGGGATGCAGCTAATAGAAAATGTTCAAAATGAACGACGACGAGCATCTGTGGTTCCTGATTCTGGACGAACACTGACCACCGATGAACATGTTAACAATGGACCGCCCTCCAAAAAACCTAAAATGACTTACAAGAGGTGTACAGAGTGCTCCAAGAAAAAAGATAGAAAGACTAGATTCATTTGTGAAAATTTGTAGCAAAAGTATATGTATGGAACATATGACCCTCATTTTGTAAACAATGTTCAAAAAAATTGTAAGTAAATAATTTTTCCTCACTTTATTGTTTCCTATTTTGTCTAAAATGAAGTATTAACTTGGTTTTACATTTTAATTTCTTTTAAAAAACCGATTAATTTTTTTCGGCAAATTTTTATTTACAATTTTTTTATTCGGGTATTACATACCCGGCGCGTGTTCTCGTGTTCGTCGGATCGGTGCGTGTGCTCGCGGGTTAAGTACTCCGGTGATGCAGCATTCTACTCAGGCAAGACTGTCTACAGGAAATTCTAAAGATATGCTGTTTTCAAATATTTTTAGTGTCACCCAGACGTTATAGTGGTTAGGGGAGCCGACTTTAATACCAAAGGGCTTGGCGTGCTTACTGGCTAGTGTACCGCCTCTCTCACTACAATTTAAACTTACTTATGACAAATTTTGTCTGAAATATGGTATAAAACAGATAATAATGTATGAAGATAAAGCAATTACCAGCGAGGCTTTTTTAGAA